AAAAAAAAAAAAAAAAATGTTTTAAAAGTGCATCCTGGGGATTCTTCAGAGGTGGCCACTCCACCCCCACCTCGTTTCACCAGAGCAGCTAGCAGCTCACCCTTTTCACTGTTTTAGATTGGTTTCTGGTTAAGATCTTGTTGGAAAAAAAAAAAAACAGGCTTCACATCCAAAATAACTAAACCAAAAGACTCCTGGATGGAATGGCTCCTGAGGCTGACTGTGACTCTGGACTTGGCTCCGCTTCTCTCTGGGGTTGATGACACGGGCTTGGTCTATGAATATCCTTTACCCTGTGTGTGCAGATCTTCCCAGAACAAAATGGGTGGCAGGCTCAAGGTTCTCACTCAGGAAAATTGGGGGGGGAAGGGCAGAGACAGTGAAGGGAGTGGTCCCCAAGGGAGGAGACTGCTGGCGCTAACCCCAGGGCTTCCCCATGCTCCCTGACCTTGACCCTGACCTTGACTGTTCCCAGCAACTCCTGACTCTCCCCTTTCCCTTACTCCTCTGCAGCTTTGGTTCCCAGTCCCCACTGGCAGCCCAGGACCCTTTTCTGTCCAGTTATTCTTTTTTTTTTTTTTTTTTTGTGGGATGGAGTTCGCTCTTGTTGCCCAGGCTGCAGTGCAATGGCGCCATCTCAGCACACTGCAACCTCTGCCTCCCGGGTTCAAGCAATTCTCCCACCTCAGCCTCCCAAGTAGCTGGGATTACAGGCATGCGCCACCACACCGGGCTAATTTTGTATTTTTAGTAGAGACAGGCCTTCTCCATGTTTCCATGTTGCTCAGGCTGGTCCTGAACTCCCGACCTCAGGTGATCCACCTGCCTTGGCCTCCCAAAGGGCTGGGATTACAGGCGTGAGCCACCGTGCCAGGCCTTCTTTTTTTTTTTTTTTTTTTGAGACGGAGTCTCTTGTCTCCCAGGCTGGAGTGCAGTGGTGCTATCTCAGCTCACTGCAACCTCTACCTCCTGGGCTCAAGCAATCCTCTTGCCTCAGCATCCCGAGTAGCTGGGATTACAGGCACATGCCACCATGCCCAGCTAATTTTTGTATTTTTAGTAGAGACAGGGTTTCACCACGTTGGCCAGGCTGGTCTCGGACTCCTGACCTCAGACAATCCTCCTGCCTTGGCCTCCCAAAGTGCTGGGATTACAGGCATGAGCCACTGTATCTGGCTAGTCCAGTTATTCTGGGGTGGAAACTGAAGCACAGGCTGGAGACGAGGACTGAGAGCGGCGATGGCCGCACTCTAGACATCAGGACCTTGGACAGGTCTCGGAACAGCTCTGTGCCTCAGTTTGTCAAAGAGGAAGAACAACTACTTTTCTCATAGGAGTCTTGAAAATTTCAGTGAAATAATATCCATAAATCGGCCAGGCATGGTGGCTCACTGCTGTAATCCTAGCACTTTGGGAGGCCAAGGTGGGAGGATCTCTCTTTTCTTTTTTTTTTTTTTTTTTTTCCAGCCGAGTCTTGTTTTTTTTTTTTTTTTTTTTTTTTTTTTTTTTTTTGAGACGGAGTCTGACTCTATCACCCAGGCTGGAGTGCAATGGTGTGATCTCGGCTCACTGCAACCTCCACCTTCCAGGTTCAAGCGATTCTTCTGCCTCAGCCTACCGAGTAGCTGGGACTACAGGTGCGTGCCACCACGTTTAGCTAATTTTTGTATTTTTAGTAGAGACAGGGTTTCACTATTTTGGGCAGGATGGTTTCGATCTCTTGACCTCATGATCCACCCGCCTCGGCCTCCCAAAGTGCTGGGATTACAGGGGAGGATCTCTTGAGCTCAGGAGTTCGAGGCCTGCCTGGGCAACACAGGAAGACCTCCATCTATACTATGGTGGTGCATGCCTGTGTTCCCAGCTACTTGGGAGGCTGAGGCAGGAGGATCACTAGGAGCCCAGGAGGTCGAGGCTGCCGTGGGCTGTGATCATGCTATTGCATTCTAGTCTGGATGAAAGAGCAAGACCCTGTCTCAAAAAATAAATAAATACAAAGAAATAATACGCGTAAAAATGCCTGGAATGGGATCTCTTATGTAGTAGGGATCGATTGACATTTGCTGTTATTATCCTTGTTGACAAGAATGGGATTCCTGGGTAAGGAGAGGGAGGCTGGCCCCAGCCCTGGTCCTATTGCTTCCATGCTGTGCATCCTTAGGGAGGTGACTCGGCCTCTCTGGGCCCCTTCTCTCTGTCTGTGACATGATAGAGTTAGACTAGTCTGGCATTTCCTGAAGCATGATGTGATACCTGTGCCAGTTTTACAGGGCTTCTGCAAGAAAGTGCTAAAATCTGAGTTGGGACTTTTTTCCCTTTTTTCTCTGTCTTTTTTCTTTTTCTTTTTTTCTTTTCTTTTTTTGACAGAGTTTCACTCTTTTGCCCAGGCTGGAGTACAGTGGCATGATCTTGGCTCCCTGCAATCTCCGCCTTTTGGTTTCAAGCAGTTCTTCTGCCTCAGCCTCCTCAGTAGCTGGGATTACAGGCACACACAACCACACATGGCTAACTTTTGTATTTTTAGTGGAGACAGGGTTTCACCATGTTGGCCAGGCTGGTCTTGAACTCCTGACCTCATGATCCACCCGCCTCGGCCTTCCAAAGTGCTGGGATTACAGGTGTGAGCCACTGCACCCAGCCTTTTGTTTTGTTTTGTTTTTTGTTTTTTTTGAGAAAGAGTCTCATTCTGTTGCCCAAACTGGAGTGCAGTAGTGCAATTATAGCTCACGTAGCCTGAATCCCTTGGGATCAAGTGATCCTCCTACCTCAGCCTCCTCAATAGCTGGGACTACAGGTATGCACCACTACACCTGGCTAATATTTTTATTTTTCCTTTTTGTAGAGACTGGGTCTCACTGCGTTGCCCAGGCTGGTCTTGAACTCCTAGGCTCAAGCGATCCTCCCACCTCAGCCTCTCAAAGTGTTGAGATTACAGGCGTGAGCCACTGTGCCTGGCCTGAGTTGAGTCTTTATTCTAACATCTATCAGGGGAAAAATATGCCTGAAACCTCAAATCTGTGTTCTCAGAGAGTGGTTGCTCAGGGTGGGGCTCAAGTAGGCATTGTTGGGGTGTCCACTCTCTGCAGTCCACAGCAATTATGGTGAGGAGTGTGGGGAGAAGAAGGTCAGAGTGTCCGTGACTCCCTCACTGTTGTCCTCTCTCCCAACAGGCACTGCAAAGTCAGCGATGAACTGACTTCATCCCAGTCTCTCAGCCCCCACCAGGACCAATCTGGAGTCCCTCCCCTGCCCCCATTCAAATTTCCCTTCTGTCCCCAAACTCATCTCTGATCTAGACCTTACTCACCTGCTTCCTGTTTCCTAAGACTCCTTCCTGCAGTCCCCAGACTGAGCCTTTTGTCTTTGTCCAACCTGTGCCAGACACCTCCTTTTCCAGAACGTTCTTACTAGTGACCTTATCTCTGTTTCCTTCTGGGGTCCTAGGAAATGCCAGCACTCCCGTCCGCATTGCCTGGAC